AGCAGCAAGAGGATAAGAACCTCTTAATTGCGTAAGTCATTAAAGCTCAGGTGTGGTGGTAGAGAAAGTCCATGTCCAGAAGATTTTAATTGGGAAGATGAAAAAAATTGGACGATCAACAACAAAAATATGTTGGGTTTTCACCCTCTGCTTGTGAAAGGGTAGTGTTAGAGATTTTAGTTGCAATATTCTTTTACAGATTTGCTCTAATCATTAAAACAAAAACAAAAAAACAAACAAAAATTGTTATTTACACATCCTCAGGGCACTACAACAACTGATGACAAATCATGCAAACCTAAAATGATTGTTACTTTTTGTTGAGATGACATTGGGCATGTTATTCATTATTTAAGAAGTTTATATGATTTTGCCATTAGAATTAGAAAGTAACCAACTGGTTTTAAAATCTTCTTTCTTTCTTTGGAATATATTAGGGATTGTCTAATGAAATTACCCTTTTTTTAAGTCTGGGGATTACAAAAATATCTTGATACCAAAATCAAACTAAATTATAGCTGTATATTCCTACCACATTATTCTCTTATCACCTCCTCCTTTGTACAATTTGCAGTCATGTAATACACTTGATGCTATGTTAGGCAAAACTTGTTGCTGGCTTTCTTGTAGAAAAGGAAATCACAACTAGTATCCAAAATGTAATTCCCTCTGATACATACCATTTAAGATGTACAAATGTGCATGGTTACTGAAATCAATTACATCATTGCATCATACGTACCCTTAGTAAATGTGCTCTTGTACAAATGTATAGTACACGTTTGTTTGTCTGTTTGCTTATCCTTACAATACATATTATTATACCTCTCCTCATACATAAGTAGCCTCTCTGAGAACTTCAGTGGGTGTTATACTAGCTCTTAGGAGCTGCATGCTTCTTATTGTAGTGGAAATTTGTTCAAGTGCTTATAATGAGTACTCAAATATGCATTAGTTTGCATGTGAGAACGCTGGTTTTACAGTTTGTTAAATACAAAATATGTGTATCTTTGAAACACACACCATCTTAAACAGATAAAGATGAGGATTATGTGTCATGACATTTGTGAAACCTTTAAAAAAGGTGAAATAGGGTGTGTCTGTGGACTGACAGTGAGTGCATCCTGTATTTAATGCATTGTCATTAAAAAGGGGGTGTGTACTTCTACTTCTTCACATAAGTGGAACATGGAATTAAGGGTAGTAGTATTATCCGGAGGCACATAACAGGATAAGAGCATCGTTAAATAGCTTTGGAGTGGTATGTTGAAAATGTGAGATTGTTAAATAGACATACATGTAGAGCCCAAGAGTTCTTAAATATTTGGGATTTGACAAGAACTACAATTTTGAAGACAGACGTCAGGCCAAATAACAACTATTTATTCTACAGCAAACAATACTTTTTTCTTTGAAAATTGAGGAAAGAAAAGACTTCATTTGTTTGGTGGTCAAACTTGAGAATGTGTGAGTGCCAAATAGGCAAAGTTCACAAGAGGTCAGGCCTGAATTATTTGGGATTTGACAAGAAGTACAAAACCACCAAAAAAAACCTGAATGAAAATCATTTATTCTACAACATGAATTACAATAATTCACTAAAGAAATTGAAGAAAATACAACCACAAATCAAGAAACTTAACAGCTGTTTGAAAATGATTGAAAAGAAAGGAAGGCAATTTCATTGCATTAGAAAACTCAAATAATTACTACTTTCATGTTCTTGTTTCTTTAATCAACACATTAATTGCATTAGCAGGAACCTTATTTTTAATTTTCTCATTCATTCCATTTCTTGTAGTCATATAAAGGCAAACTATAAGAAGCTTGAAGTTGTGTAACTCATGATATATATGCACACAGTCGTAGTTGATTTGCGGTATTGTTAATGACGGAAGGCATCACCACATGGGACTTTTTGTTGAACGAGATTAATCTACTTCATGCCCAAAGAGCGTAACTCCTCCTTCATCATCTATTTCTTTCCAGTCAATATGTTTCTATGTCTAGCCCAGCAGGTAGGCATTAACAGATATTTATAGAGATGTTAGTACTTTTCCACCTTTTCTGAAGATAGAAAAGGAGATTTTCTCCTTATTAAATTGGAAAACAACATTTCTGTGTAATCTAAAATATGACTGGATGAAAAGTACTTGGAAGCCTTGAGGATTTGTGCTTTAATTATGACTGTGAAAATGGATAAAAGTACATTCAATTGCAGCTTCTTTCCATCGAAATAGAAAATTGAAATGCTATATATTAGGGAGGGGGGAATTGTAATATGAGATTTATTCATTGTTTACCATTTAAAATGAATAAACAAACAACAGGACTTCGAGGTAGGATTGAAAAGAAGCTTGAGTAGAGACTTTTTATGTTGGGGGAGGGTGGGGGAGGGGGGTTTCTTGTTTAAACACACGTTACACTAAAATACATCAGTATGTCAATGAATATATATGTCCCTCTTCAAACTGTGTTGAACACAGTTAGACTTTCAATTTGAACACTTTATAAACATACAAATAAAGAGAACACATTTACTTTGACTTTGATATTATTAATCAAGAACATTACCATATTATTGATGGTGTGATAGTATAACGAAATGATACATTTTCGTTTGCACCTCAACAAGGTTATAGCTGTGGTTAAAGTTGTTGTGGGGTGTAATGTTAGAAAGACACAAAAATCTCAAGTTTATATGTACATGTACACCTATGTTCTTGGCGCTGGTTGATCGCTTTTAATTGATGTTCATCGTGGATTGTATTCACTGTATTTTATGTTTATGTCATCAATTCATTTACTCTATCTAATGATTCCCTTGCTTTTTGCCCTGGTAAGTGTTTTCAATGAAACGCATGCTTGTCCTATTGATACTATCATGAAAAACCAACTGCCAGATAAAGTGCCTACCAGCAATTGCTACTTTGTTCTTTTCCGATGCATCCCCCACGACTCTCTTTCACCCCAAAGTACAAGTGAATTCGGTGTAGGATTCAACAGGGTCCTAATCGATAGTGACTTGTCAGAGTCAGCACAATGCAATTAAAAGAAGAGTAGTCAAAATAACAATTGTCGGTGTGCGGATCAACCACCGATCAATACGCCATTGTGCGCCGAACTGACCGACATGTGTTCACGTGAATCTGCGCACAAAGCGTCACTGACTCCTCGCCAATAATGCCTGCCTGCATGGGGTTGCATCCATGGGCAAAAGAGTGAGTGACCGGTCTGTGTTGTAGAAGAATTAAAGCGTTCCTTTGCACTGTGGATGGGTCCTGTATAGAATGGCCTCGTTGTCCGTTGAGTGTGGTTATGAATAATAGGGGGGCTTTTGTAACATCAAAGCTCTGGTATAAGCTAGAGGTGAGACCTGTTGGCTCAATATTGACCTGGTAGAATAGTCAAGGCAATAACATCATAGGATGATGAATCGTTGGGAGACAAAACATGTTGTTTGCAGGGATGAGTCTACTGCAGACAAGAAACAAACAAGTCAAAAATAATTGAATGGTACTTTAGCTAGACCTATATGGTTGACCCAAAACTAAGTGAGGCCCAGCCCGGCCCTTGATCTAAAAGTTGAAAAAATGGATAGAACTTTAAATGAATTTGAGGGTAAGAGCAATGATAGTTGCCCTGTATGATTAGACAAAGCCACAAGATGATCTAAATAGTGAGACTATTTAGAATCACAGAAATATCATCTAGAATATCTGTTGCATGATAGTGATAATGATGAGAAGAACAGTAATCTAAGAAAATGTATAGAGTATTGGTGAATTAAGGAAAACCTTTAACAACCACAGCTCTCTGAACCCCCCCCCCCCCTCCAAAAAAACAAACAACCTTCTCTGGGTAAGAATTTGCTTTGCTGCTTCCTCCCTCCTATAATCATGTTCCTGGAAAAATATTTGAGGAAGAAAAAAATTATAGAAATTGTGCATCCTTCTCCTTCAGACAATCTTGGATCTGCCCCTAAATTGAATTTTCCAGAAGAGTGAATAAAAAGGGGCAACTTTAGGCAAGCACATTTTGATAAATTAAATTCATCAAGTGGACAAACTGATTGTACAATAAAGTAAAACCAAATCACCTCACTGGGTTTGTCTTTTTTCAATTGGAAACAAAAATCATGAAGCCCAAACATGACGCAGTCTGTGTCATTATTGATTCAGCTTTTTTTGGCTCGGCGCAAGATGAATAGTATCAAATCGAATAGTAAAACCAAACGACAGCCGTTTTGCTATCATTGATATATATATAACTTCATCACCTGCCCGAGTCTATTTGTAATTCGATAATGAATTTCACCTCGAAACGGACATGCCAGGTTGTACTCTGGTCTGTCAGTCGGCGATTTTAATTACTTCTGCTGTGAATAATAGAAAAGATAGTGTGTGTTGTCAGGTCTTGAATAGAAGGTTAAGTTTAGTGTTATGGGAGGTCAAAGGGAGGAAAAGACCATTGTTTGTGTGTCTGGATATAAATACAATTGTAAGAATTGTAAATAAGAATTGAATTATCCTTCTCTCTGAAAGAAGTGACATGTGATTAATATTGTTACGTGCATTTCATTCATGCCCTTGGCACAGAAGGTAATGGGGATGGAATTATGTTGTATAGGAATGACTCAGTTACCCTCTTTGAAACTGAACTCTATATTTTTTTAGGAAATATGATTCTTATACCTAAAGCTTTCTAATTTGCATTACCAATAAAGCTGTAAACCAACTTAAAAACACAATATAATTTTTTTTTTAATTATGTGTCTACAATTCAGCCTCTGCAAGACAGATTTTGAATAAATATACCATTAAATAAATAAATGAATAAATAACTTATCGTGAACTTCATCTGAATGCACTGTTTGTAGAGACTGAGGCATCTCATGTTTGATTATCAACACGACTATTTAAGCTGAATGACTGTAATTCTTTATCAGATTAGTCATACTAATGAAATCTTATTTCCTATCGTTTTATTCTTCTGCACAGCCTCGAGAAAAGAACCACATTAGCAATGGAGCAGTCAAAGCTAGTCAACCCATCCAGATCAATGGTGTTCTTGGGCGGAGGACAAACGGCCTCCAAAGTGAGGTAAATATGAGTTCTCTTGAATATCATTATAATAATAATAATATGGATATTTATATAGCACCGGTATCTACCAGGCTCTGATGCTCATGGCGCCTTACACTTATTACCCTGGTTATAGCCGAGCTGCCAAAATAACTAGTGCTCAAGCATATGAGGTACCCATCTACACCTGGGTGTAGAGTGGCAAATGTAGATTAACGTCTTGCCAAAGGACATTGGTGCTGCGGCGGGACTTGAACTCCATACTTTGTGATCTGCAGTCGGGTGACTAATCCACTAGACCACAACACCGACTTTTAAAGTTCTTTTTTTAAACAAAAAGCATGGAACGTGGACATGTAGGTCTATATTCAAGTGGGAAACTTAAACAGAACTTAATGTAAAATATGTAATTTAATTACCCCTGTACATCCTTTAGAAAGAAACGAAAATGCTTATGATTTCTTAAACAGAAAAAGACATGTCTAGACCAGTCAGTGGGTCTTATGAAGAAAGCATTTCTCTAATCAAATATGCTGTGATTTTGTAGGTTTCCAACAGTGTTCAAATATACATGAATGTACCATTTTATTTATTTGCATGATCTGTTTCAGCCAATATTGGGTTGGCCCAACATTTGCTCAGGTGACATTTGCTCTATTTCTTTTGTCAAAGTCAAAGATAAATGGTTAGGGGTGCTATTCGGATTGAAGTTTTGGGGTTTGGGTTTGATACAGTATTTGGTCCAGGAATGAAGTTGAGACTTCAGTTATTGAAGGATGTTTTCTGCATAGAAATTGTCAGAGTGTGCATCATCAAACAGTGATGATGGCCAACTGTGTTGTATCTCTCACTCTGTCTCAATTCATGTTTCATTCTGGTCTCTGTTTCTAAACCATGCCTCCCCCACCCCTTCTCTCTCTCTCTCTCTCTCTCTCTCTCTCTCTCTCTCTCTCTCTCTCTCTCTCTCTCTCTCTTCCTCCATTCTTCCCTCTCCTTGTATATACTTCTCCCCTTCTCTCTCTTCTTATCTCTCTCTGATTCTTATTCTCTCCCTATTTTCCATTTTTTTAACGTTGTATCTTTATTTTTCTCTCAATTCCTAATTCTTTCTAGCCTTTCTTTCACTCCTCTCACTCCTCTCTTTCTCTTCCTCTTCCTTTCTCGAACCTCCATCCGTCCCCTGTCCTTCTATTGTTGTGTGCATTTCTTTTTCTTGTCAATTTCTCTATTTGCTAATGATAGTAATCATCTTTGTGTCTCGATTAAGCGCTAGAGAAAACACATTGGGAACCCAGTTGAAGTCCCACTGCCTATCATGTGAGGCATTAGTCCTTCATTGTCTATGTTTTCTCTCTCATTTTCTCTCAATTCCTAATACTTTCTAGCCTCTCTTTCACTCCTCTCTTTCTCTTACTGTTACAAAATGTATATCTCTATCTCTCCCCTGTCCTATTGTCATGTCCCTTATTTTTCTTGTCAATGTCTCTATTTGCTAATGATAGTAATCGTCTTTGTGTCCCGAGGCACTAATGAAATTGCATTGGAAACTCATTAGAAGTCCCACTGCCCTTCGTGTGAGGCATTAGTCCTTCATTATACACGTTTTCTCTCAATTGCTAATGTTACGATATACGATATCCGATATATCCGGTATCCGTCGTAGTTCAATAAACATGGTCACCATCATCACAAACCTGACTGCCGACTCGTCTATTATCATGAGTATCTACCAAATCTAAGACCCTCGAACTCATCATGGTGGCAGCGGTGGATCTTGGATAGTGAGGTGAAGAGGTTGTATGGGTGATCGACCACTTCCGGCACATGTCCTTGAAGTGCTTCCCGACAAATTGTGGACCGTTGTCGGATACGATCTCCTCTGGTGGACCAAATAGACTGAAGATTCCACTCATCACGTTGGCTACTGCAGCACTTGATGTGTCAGTCAGCTTGTAGACTATCGGATACTTGGAGTAATAGTCAGTGACGAGTAAATAGTCTTGTCTGTTTAGCATGAACAAATCTGTTCCTAGTCTAGTCCAAGGTGCTGAAGGTACATCATGGGGAAGCAACGGCTCTTTCTGTTGCCTTGCCTGGTGTTCCTGGCATGCAGCACATTGCTTTACGATCTGTTCAATGTCCTTGTTGATGTGTGGCCAGAACACTGTCTCACGAGCTAGTCGTCTCGTGCTCTCGATTCCCATGTGTCCAAGATGAAGTTGTCTGAGGATATCTTCTCGAAGTGTCTTCGGTATGATGACTCTGCTTCCTTTGAAGAGTACTCCTTGAGATACTCCAATCTCATCTCTGTAAGACCAGAATTTCCTGAGGGATGTCGGCAGCTCCTGAAGAGTTTCAGGCCAACCCTGAGTGACTGTCTGCCACAATGACCTAAGAACAGGGTCATTGGATGTTTCCCTCTGGAGTTCTGTTCTCTTGTGTTGTCCGAAGAAGATCAAGTCGATTTGATGAGTGTCTTCTACTTCGGAGCAGATTGATTCCACTCTGATGTCTAGTGGAACATCGCGTGCTTCCTTGGGGTTAGGAAGACGGCTCAAGGTATCTGAAAGAATCATTTCTTTCCCAGGTCGGTACTTGACTTGGCATCTGTATCCTTGTACCTTGATCAATAGTCTCTGTAGACGAGGTGGTGCGCTTCTTAGAGGTTTCTTCCAAATTGTCTCCAAAGGCCTGTGATCTGTTATCACAGTGAATTCCTTCCCGAATAGGTATGTATGGAATCGGACGATACCAAACACTAGGGCTAAGGTTTCCCTCTCTATGTTCGAGTAGTTGGACTGTGCATTGGAGAGACTTTTGGATGCAAAAGCTACGGGTTTGCCATCTTGGAGCAGGCATGCTCCCAGCCCTTTCATTGATGCATCTACCTCAACGGTTGTCTCCTTCTTTGGGTCAAAGAACTGCAGGCATGCACCCGATGAGACTGCGCTTTTCAGGCTGTTTAAGGCATGTTCGTGATCCTCGTCCCAGACGAATGGAATTTCCTTGTGAAGGAGTTCACGAAGTGGTGCTGACTTCTCTGATAGATTAGGAATGTATGGTGCTAGGTATGTGAATAATCCTAGGCATCTCTGAACATCTTCCTTGTCCTTGGGTGAAGGCATTGTGTTGATAGCTTCAACCTTGCTTGGATCTGGGAAGATTCCAGATCTTGTGTACATGGATCCAAAGTAGCTGATAGCTTCCTTCTTGATAGTACACTTGGAGCTGTTGAACACGAGTCCTTCCTGTTTCGCTGTCTCCATGAGTAAGTGGAGATTCTTGTCGTGTTCCTCCTCTGTTTTCCCGACAATGGCAATGTCGTCTGCGATACATACGCAGCCAGGCACATTCTGGACGATCCTATCCATGTGTTGCTGGAAGATGTCTTGGCTTGTGCATAAGCCGAAGGGTAATCTTTGGAAACAATATCTTCCAAATGGTGTTCTGAAGGTGGTCAGGTCTTGGCATTCCTCTGCTAGGTGTACTGACCAGTATCCAGCCTTTGCGTCTAGCTTGGAGAAGAATTGAGCTCCTGCGAAGATTGGTTGGATTTCTTCCAAGGTTGGAATTTTGTGTGGACACCTTTTCAAGGCATCGTTCAACCTTCTGGGGTCAAGACATATCCGTATGGATCCATCTTTCTTCACAACGGTGGTCATCGAGCTACACCAATCTGTGTGGTTTTCTATCTTTCTGATGACTCCTTGCTTCTCCATGTTATCTAGTTCGGCTTTGATCTTGTCCTTCAGATGGACACTGCACTTTCTAGGTGCATCTATGGTTGGCTCTGCATCATCTTTCGGATGCAGCATTGCTTTCCCGCTAAAGCTTCCTATGGCATCAAACTGATCTGGGTATGTTTGTTTGAGGTCACTAACACTTGTGATAGGTGTATGTGTAGGTGTGTCCTTGTGCATTGTGTGGATTGTGATAATCCCGAGATCTGTGCAACCTAACAACCCTAAGATAGCTGGTCCATTCACGTCTGCTACGTAGAATGTATGTGTATACCATTCTGGACTCTTGTATCTACACTTTATGTCTAGTGTACCAACGCATGGTATTGATATTTCGCCATATGCTACTAGCTTTACTGGTGTACGTTTCACTACTTGCCTCCACTTGTCACCATATATTTGTTTGGCTGTGCGTACTGTGATAGTATTAGCGCTTGCCCCAGAGTCTATCTTCAGATATAGGTAATGCTGACCTGATTTCTGTGGGCATATGATGTCAATGTTTGCAAAAGCTACTGTACCCTTTGAGTTGATCACTGTGTGTGTTCCGATCGTGTGTATGGTGTCAAAATGTTCGAAGTTTGATGGACCTGCTGATTGTTGATGTTCATGATCTGTGCTAGTATCATGTTCAGTGTCCATTTCACTTATCGGTTTATACTTTCGACCCTTTGATTTTGATCGTGATTGGTTACCGTGTTTCGGTTGACGGTCATCAGATTTATGGTCATCTGATCTATGATCTGGTTTTCGACTTCGATCGTTCTTAGCCTTTCTACAGAACTTGGCCCAATGGCCCTTTGTGTCACAGGCACGACACACATCGTGGTACGCAGGGCACTGACGAGGTTTGTGGATACGTCCACAGTTTCCACACGTCTTTCGTCCCTGGTTCCGCTTGAATGAATCTATGCTTTCTTTAGCCGGCTCAAGCGTTTCTAGGCATTTTCTGCTCGCCGCAACTGCCTCGTATTTTCGACCCTCTACAAGAATTGCTTCGATTAGATATCCTTTAGGCTGGTCCAATAGGAATTTCTGGAATTCTAGACTTGGTGTTGAGGTGATGACTACCTCCATTATCCGCTCGGCAAGCTCGGATTCCTCAAAATCGCATGTGTTGGCTTTGTCTCTACATCGAGTAACGAATGCGTCATGCTCTCATCTTGTCTCTGCCGATATCGCATCAGCTCGAGACGATGGACCCGAAAATTAATGTTTACCTTTATTTGTTTCTCAAATAATTTCCACAGCTCTTGTGGTTTTTCTTGGTCGGCCTCTGATAGCCCAGACGCATTGATTCTGCGCAAACCTTCGTTGCCTACAGCGATTTTGATTTTTATAGCCTTTTTTTTGTTTTCAGTTATTTCTTGATCTGCCAACACAAGCTCCATTCTCTGCTTAAATAGCTTGAACTCTTCGGGTAGGTCTGGTACCTCCCAGTTCATCTCTGGATACTTAGTACTCATTGTATATGTCACGTGTGCGTATTGGTTACGACAGATTATATGAATGAGTGTAAATCTTTGTGTTGTTTATCTTAGTGTGAACAGGTCCTAACCGGCTGGTGTTGATAAGGTTCGTACACGTAAACCTGTGTACGCTCTCACACCTGTGTGAATGTCATTAGGTGTCTCATGCAATGAAAATGTTGATCACTCTCACTCAATGTGTCCGACAGTGACAATTCCTCACACACCAGATATTATTGTTAATATTATCTGAAAACAGGTTTAATGTTCACACCTCTGATTTAGTTTAATTTTAGATTTAAACTTTACTAGTTAAGTTATTATGCAGACCCCTGTGTCAGTGATTGAGCACAGTTATAACTTGATTAGGCTATTCTGAGCAGGCTTTATGAACCTTTATATGCTCATACACACATCACCATTCACGTACGAGTTCATCGGGATTATGCAGTAGCATCAGTGTCTCGGTACACTGTGCGGTATGTACGATGCACGTACTATGCATACGAAAAAGTGCGACGTGACAAATCGCTAATCGACGATAATTTTGCTAATTATACTTCCCAACTGTCGTGAACTGGATCAATTGTGTCTTCAAAAATCAAACTTGATTTCGAAGATCCCAGCAGCTGCCACCATGATGAGTTCGAGGGTCTTAGATTTGGTAGATACTCATGATAATAGATGAGTCGGCAGTCAGGTTTGTGATGATGGTGACCATGTTTATTGAACTACGACGGATACCGGATATATCGGATATCGTATATCGTAACAGCTAATTCTTTCTAGCTGTTCTTTCACTTCTCTCTTTCTCTTACTGTTACAAAAAGGTATTGCTCCATCTCTCTCCTGTCCTTCTATAGTTGTATCTCTTTCTTTTTCTTTTCTTTTAAATGTCTATATTTGCTGATTAATGATAGTAATCATCTTTGTGTCTCAAGGCATTGGGAACCTAGTCTAGTCCCTCTGCCTATCATGTGAAGCATTAGTCCTTCATCGTCTATGTGTTCTCTCTCATTTTCTCGCATTTCCTAATTTTTTCTAGCCTTTAATTCTATCAATCCTCTCTTTCTCTTACTCTCTTTAAAAAAAGAGTGAATTTTCACTCTATTTTCATTTTCTTGGGAGTGACGTCCGTGATCACTTGTTTAGGAGTGAAAATCGATTGATTTTGGAGTGCTCTCTAAGAAGAAAAGAGTGAATGTTCACTCTTATTTTCACTACATTTTCACTCTCCAGAGGAGTGACGTCCGTGATCACTTGATTTTTTTTAGAGAGTACTGTTACAAAATGTATAACTCCATCTCTCCCTTGTCCTTCTATTGTCATGTCCCTTTATTTTTCTTGTCAATGTCTCTATTTGCTAATGATAGTAATCATCTTTGTGTCTCAAGGCACTAATGAAATAGCATTGGGAACTCATTAGAAGTCCCACTGCCCATCGCGTGAGGCATTAGTCCTTCATTATACGTTTTCTCTCAATTGCTAATTCTTTCTAGCTGTTCTTTCACTCCTCTCTTTCTCTTACTGTTACAAAAATCGTCGCTGTTTTCACGAAGTGACGGTAGTGAAAAAAAAATGCATTCACTTTGCGTGACGATTTTCCTCACTACCGTCACTTCGTGAAAACAGGGGCGAAATGTATAACTTCATCTCTCCCCCTGTGTTTCTGTTGTTATGTCCCTTTCTTTGTCTTGTCAATTTCTCTATTTGCTAATGATAGTAATCGTCTTTGTGTCCCAAGGCACTAATGAAATCGCATTGGGAACTCATTAGAAGTTCCCCTGCCCATCGCGTAAGGCATTAGATCTTCATCATCTACATCGTACATGTCCTCGGCTCAAAGCCAGAAGGGCGGTAACTCATATCAATCATTGAACATTGAATACAATATTAAAGCTCTTCTGTCTCTCAAGAGATGTAGTACCTCAGACATGATTGAAATCTCTAGATTCTCCAGTTCTTTGCATAGAATCACACAATCTGCCCGCGAGAAGGCGATGTTTTTGTTGAGGGCAGCAATGGCCTCTTGTTAGCAGGTGATGAATTTCTCATTAGATTTCCATCTATAATAGACATACCAATCAGCCCACAAGGGGTTTATAAGAGATCATGATACAGCTAATGTTCCTTCGTTATTAACTGAAGAATCCATACCCACACTGACAGGGGTAATTGTTCAATCTATTTTAGCTCTTGGCATTTTTCTCTTGACAGTGCAAAGAGAGAGAGAAAGAGAGTAGGCCTGCCTTCATCAGCTCGCGTTGGCCAAATAGCAAGCTATTTCTGATTCAGGAAATTTGCCTAAAGTTACAAATCCTGCCTTCAAAACTCGAGCTCGAGAAATTAGCTTGAGAAATTTGTTCAGTGTTCGTGTATAGTGCGAAACTTCGGGCTGGTGAAGACAGACCGGACAAATAGCGGGCTATTTTGCAAACTAGCCCTAGATATCTTGGGAAGATTTTCTGAGCAAATAGCCCGCTATTCACTTCTTCACCTGCCAAATAGCCCGCTATTTTGTGATTTTGTGATTGTGCTAATTTCCCGAACCAGAACTAGTGGGCTAATTGGCCAACTCAAGTTAATGAAAACAGGCCTAGTGAGACAGATGGACAGAGAGAGGTAAATAGCATGAGATGAAAAGAATGGTAGAGAGAGGAAAATAGAGAAACCATATATATTTACAAGACGATCCAATGTTCAATCAATACTACAACCCATCCTCCTAGCTATCAAGGGCTGAAACCTAAGGAGCGAGGGGGCGAGAAGACTTTCTTGGCTGTGTTCCTTCTCTCCCTAAGGAGAAAGCCAGAACATTGTGTTCGGCAAGCAGAGATCAGCATGGAAGGAAGATGACATTGAAGGTTTTCACAATGGCCTTAGAAGGAAAATTCTGATTATTTATTGTAATGTTTGCAGGCAGACATGAATATATAGGGCAGTGCAATGTAAAACTGTTATTCAGATTTATGAAATGAAAAGGAGGGTATTTGATGTCACTGAGCAAACATTGTGAAAAAGGACAGTATTTGATATAATTGAGGAAATGTTGTGAAATGTTGTGACTGCAGATGGTGTGCTATTACATCCTATCTAAATATGACTTATTGGACATGACATGTTACCTGGAGACATGTATAATCTTTCCCAACATTATTTTGAATAAATCTCTGTCTACACAAAGATTACCAATTCCATGTTACAACATTGTCTGCTTCTAAATCTCTGTATTCTGTAGCTCTTTGAAAACCCTCCATCTTTTCTAAACCCTTATAATTCTTGTTATGTTCAGTACTAGTATTAAGGTTTGCCAGTATTCTTCTTCTTCTACTTCTTCTTCTTCGTCCTCGTCCTCCTCGTCCTCCTCCTCCTTCTCCTTCTTCTCCTTCTCCCTTTTCTCCTTCTTTTCTTTCTTCTCCCCTTCTTCTCTTTCTTCTTTTTCTTCTTCTTCTTCTTCTTTTCTCCTTCTTTTCTTTCTTCTCCCCTTCTTCTCTTTCTTCTTTTTCTTCTTATTATTCTTTTCTCCTTCTTTTCTTTCTTCTCCCCTTCTTCTTTTTCTTCTTCTTCTACTCCTCCTTCTTCTCCTTCTCCCTTTTATCTTTCTTTTCTTTCTTCTCCCCTTCTTCTCTTTCTTCTTTTTCTTCTTCTTCTTCTTCTTCTTCTTCTTCTTCTTTTCTCATTATTATCATCATCATCGTCATCATTTTCATTATTGTTATTAGAATTATTAGAATTAATTTAATCATCATCATCATCATAATTTATAATTTATATTTATATCCCCCCCCCCCTTAACCCACTTGCAGAAACTCTCCAACAGTCTTCCGCAGGCGTCCTCGGGCCAGACCACGTTTCCCCAGCTCTCTCTAGGCCATAATAAGAGCAACACCATGGGGGAGTCCTTACCCCAACTCACCAACGTCCAGGGGCATCTAGTCGCCTCTGGTATCCATCAGACCACCATAGGGGAACACATCAAGGCCCATAGACAACCTAACAAATTGTAAGTACATGTGTTTCTTTTCTCTCTCTCTCTCTCTGTCTCTCTCTATCTCTCTCCTGTTTGTTTTCTTTGCAAAGTATTATTTTAAATAGTTTAGAGAGTACACTGTACATTTACATAAGAAGTGGACTGAAGAAAAAAAAATGTTCCACTAAATAGTTTGTAAATAGAAACCCTAGCTTGAATCCAACAATAGGATATCATAGCTGCCACTTTGATCATAAGCTCAGATTACAACTAGTACTTAGTTCATTCCCCAAAATATAAATGAATATACAGAGTTTTCTGTATTTGTAACATTTCTGCCAATACCATTAAACACTCTCTATTGCACCCCCCCCCCCCCCCCACCTTCCCTTTCACTCAGATATACTTAGTTGTTGTCTTGTGTAGGTTAGGGCTTTGTTTACCTTGGTGATACTTTGAACCAATCACAGCAGTGGCCATTGTATCAAGTTTGGTCAAGAGAGGGCAGCATTCAGGAAGTGTTTACAGGCTAATGGATCCTCAGAGTAGAACTTCCCAGTTTCAGAGTTGAACTCGATTCTGCAAATTCATGTCACTGAATGCTTGGATAATGATCAGTTCATGAAAATTAAATTCAGAATTATTTGTTAAATATTATTGAATGGAAGTGATACAGCAGTAATTATCCCCACAACAAAATGGCAATATTGATACATCCTTAATTTGTCCATATATGCACCTAGAATATGGCAAATAATTCTATGGCATTAGTTTGCCACCTTCCTGCTCTACAGTTTCCTTTTGAATCCTTCCATTTTAAGAACCATAAGTTTATCAAGGAAAAATGCAATACTGTATATTTGCATACCAGATCAAAGTTGTAAAAGAGTTGAATACAAATGAACATTCAGATGACACTGTTATAAAGAATAATTTATTTCCATTTTTATTTGAATCAAATTATTTGAAGTGTTCATAGAGCAGTTGGTTACTATGTTTTGATATTTGTTGTAGTAGATTAAATATTTCAATGACAATGTTTCACAATTTTAGATAAGATTCTTTGACAGTTTTTTGTTGTTGTATGTGAACTAAGTTATATTCTATATTCTCCTACAGCGAGGAAATTAAGAGATCATCTAAAAATGAAGGAAAGGACAGCAGAGGACATATGAAGCCAAACGGTGAGTGGTTGGGGAATTTTTTCTTCATCTGCCTCATTATTTTAATTTTTCTGTTTATCTGGAACCAGAGATGGAAAAGTCTGGTGGTAAATTTCAAGTTAGATGTTACTCTGTTAGACTAGATCTTGGGCTAGAAAACGAAAGCAAAGTTGACAGTAACATACTGATAACTGAATCCATCTTCAGATGAAGGCACAAATTTGGTAAATGTATGCTTGTCTTCTGATACTGATGTAATTTCAAACTCTCTTGGTGTTTTAGAGGATTAAATAGATAGGAAGTGTTATTCTTAACTGATGTCCAGTTATTTATGTCCTGTGGTGATGTCCAGTTATTCAGTTACCAAGGTGATGTCTTACTAAAGGCTATAGAGATCTCATATATATTTTAATTTTTTCTCTTAATTCATTGGCAATAATGTATTACTGGAACAAACAGTCAGTATTAAGTTATGTATCAGCCTTAGCAGATTACCTGGTAGAACTAATTCAATTAAAAATTATTGTGTTTTTTTAAAATATTTTTTTTATGCAGAGGCAACTGTATCCTACCGGGACAGATCAAGTCTTTTTAGGGCCCTTTTAATCTATACCTCGACTCAAGATATTCCAAGCTCATGCTAATCTAGCTGGTTCTTTAATCTTTTCTTTTTACAGAGGCCATGATGTACTACCGAGACAAACTGACAGTCTTTGAGGAAGCCGAGATCCTAGACTACCAGGAGGTCTGGTTCTTAGGTCCAGAGGCTAAGAAAGTAGAAGGGGTCCAGGGAGCATCACAAAACAATGGCTATGATGATGAGAATGGGTCCTATATCAAGGTAGGTATCTTCATGTGCCCTCCAAAGGGGCATCGGTAGGGGAATTCCCATTTCACACATATTCTTTAATAGCTAAAGAGTGTAGTTGCTGAATATGTCATTACATTTTTTAAAAATGTATATTTCTCCTGTGTTTTTTTATATTTTTATTTATTATTATTAAATGGTAGTTTAGATACTCTACATGGAAGAGAGTTGTTGTGCTATCGATGTTACTTTTAACACTTGTGGAATCTCCATGATCACTATAATGCCCTGCCATGATGACACTGCTTTACTTCTATTACATCACCATCTATCCTGCAAATTTTAATTAGTCCTCCATCAACTTATATATTTTAAACAGATATAACCAAACCCCCATCTCACATTACAAGCCCGTAACACGAACGCCTCCATGTATCATAGATTCAATCGATCGTGTAATGTCAATTTAATCCAAGTAGCCTTGAAATGAATTATAAACACAATAGCTGGTAATTGTATGATCTAATGAGACCTGATTCATCAAAATGTCATGTTTTCAGTCTGACGTCAAACGATGATTGGCCTTGGGTAGAATGCTCTGCGATTGTTTCCTCGAATTTAAATATCCTTTCGATACAAAGTTCATGGTTCTGCCCCAGATAGTTTGATTTCAGTAAATCATCTCTTTTGTTGAGATAATGAATTTTATTTATTTTTTTTATATTCAGCTATTGATGATTAAGGTGGTATATATTTTGGTATGAGAAAAAGTATGAATGATTTCATTTGTTTACAATTGGTATAACTTATGATATATAAGTTTGAAAGACCATGATTCATACAATTTTTATGCCTCCGCCACCGAAGGTGGTGCCGGAGGCATCATGTTTTCGGGTTGTCCGTCCGTACGTCCGTCCGTACGTCCGTCCGTACGTCCGTCCGTCCGTACGTCCGTCCGTACGTCCGTCCGTCCGTCCCGTTTGACCGTTATCACAATATCTCAAGAACCATTTAAGATTTAAACTTAAGACTCGGGAATAGTATTTATCACCATAGGAAGACGATCTGATTAGATTTTGGAGTACGTAGGTCAAAGGTCACAGGTCACAGAGGTCAACTTATGAAATTCCTTGTATTGAGTTTGTTAGCGCGATATCTCAAGAACCATTTGAGATTTAAACTTCAAACTTAAGGATAGTATGTATCACCATAGGAAGACGATCTGATTAGATTTTGGAGCACGTATGTCAAAGGTCAAGGGTCACAGAGGTCAACTTATGAAATTCCATACATTGAGATTGTTATCATGATATCTCAAGAACCACTGGAGATTTAAACTTCAAACTTAGTGATAGTGTGTATCACTATAGGAAAACAATCTGATTAGATTTTGGAGCACGTATGTCAAAGGTCAAGGGTCACAGAGGTCAACTTATGAAATTCCATACATTGAGATTGTTATCATGATATCTCAAGAACCACTGGAGATTTAAACTTCAAACTTAGTGATAGTGTGTATCACTATAGGAAAACAATCTGATTAGATTTTGGAGCACGTAGGTCAAAGGTCAAGGGTCACAGAGGTCAACTTATGAAATTCCATACATTGAGATTGTTATCATGATATCTCAAGAACCATTTGAGATTTAAACTTCAAACTTAAGGATAGTATGTATCACCATAGGAAGACGATCTGATTAGATTTTGGAGCACGTAGGTCAAAGGTCAAGGGTCACAGAGGTCAACTTATGAAATTCCATACATTGAGATTGTTATCATAATATCTCAAGAACCACTGGAGATTTAAACTTCAAACTTAAGGATAGTATATATATCACCATAGGAAAACGATCAGATTAGATTTTGGAGTACATGTATGTCAAAGGTCATAGAGGTCAACTTGAAAATTTCAGACTACATGTATAGGACTTGTCATGATATGTCAAGAACCACTTGAAATATGTTCCGTTACTTAACCCGTACTTAACTGGGCTATTTTGAGCACCTCCCTGACTGGGGGGGGGGGGGGGGGGGAGGGGCCGATTGCCTCGAAATTTGGCACGCGTCTTGAGAAATTGCGCAAAGCAAGAGACCTCACTAAATTGTTTAAATTGCTCTATGGCGGAGGCATCATTTTCGACTGCGCGCAGTCAAAATTCCATCTAGTTTTACACTGAGTTAGGCATGCAGATCTTAATGGAATTTAGACCCCGATTTGGAAACATGAATCAACGATTAAACAAATAGTTGTCGCAATCAAAAATTCCAAATGTATTCATAATGAATGATAGTGTGTAGGAAAAATTGACATGTTTATGTTTGGGTTTATTTATTTACATGTGACTCCTTTCTGCTTTATTTCCATCAGGTGATACATGATCATTTAGCATACAGATATGAGATTCTGGAGGTCATAGGTAAAGGGTCGTTCGGTCAGGTCGTCAAAGCCTTTGACCACAAGTTGGGAGAGATGATTGCAATCAAAATTATACGCAATAAGAAAAGGTGAGTGCAATCTGTTTTTATCTGTTTCCCTTTTTCATCATTTTCTAACTTCCATAGTTGTTTTGTTCATCTTCTCATTTGACCTTGTATGATTGTATTTATTTGTTGTCTACTCTCTTTCTCTCCCACCCCCCTCTCTCTCTCTCTTTCTCTCCCACCCCCTCTCTTTCTCTTTCTCTCTTTCTCTTCTCTCTCGCTTTCTCTTCCCCTCTCTCTCTCTCTCTCTCTTTCTCTCTCTCTCTTTCTCTTTCTCTTCTCTTCCCTGCCTCACTTGATATTGTATTATCTTCATTCGTGTCTTCTCTCTTCCTCTTCCTCCCCCTCTCTTTGCCCTTTGCTGACTTACTCTGCACCCTTTCCTTCACACAGTCAATTCTTCCTTTTCTCCATCTGTCATGTTCTGTAGTTTCTCTTTCCATATTTCTTAATATCCTTTTCCTCATTATTTCTGAATATCTCATCTCTTCTAAGGCTGAAGATTAATTTAGCTTTAAAGAAAATCTTACGTAAAATAATGCAGCCCCGCTGAACTGATAATCACTTGTAGACATGTTAGATTGCCAATATTAAAGGTACTGCGTAGCCAGTAGTAATTCAAAATGAAAATTCCTGCCTCGAATGCATTACTTTGGAAGATATGTGTTTGCTGGTGAAATTCACCATCGAGCTAATGTCTTTGCATGTATACTATATTGTGATCATCCATTTTTACCAATGGTCTCTGTATTGTATATTTACCTGGGCACCTGGCAGGAATTAATTTCTTGAAATACTAGAGCTCTGTAATGGCAGCTAAGCTAAAGCCGTATTAATAATAAGTGCGCCTTGGAATAGAATTTTAGTTAGACGGCGCTATAGAAATTATTATTATTATTTGAATTTTTTGTTTGTTCAGGTTTCACCACCAAGCATTGATAGAAGTGAAGATACTAGATGCACTAAGGAGAAAAGACAGAGACAACTCACATAATGTGGTCCATATGAGGGAGTACTTCTACTACAGGAACCACTTATGTATCACCTTTGAATTGTTAGGGTGAGTATAGAACTTTGGGGTTTTGGTACTGACAAGGATGATGATGATGATAATGATAATCATCGTAATGATGCAATTGATAATGTTAAGAATAAATTGATAATGGTTAGGGATTTTAATGACAGTTTGATGATGTCATAATGATGATTGGCCTTGGTAAAGTGTTGATAATTTTACTAGGAAGATATTTATACAGATGAATATATAGTTCTAGTTGCAATGATGTTAGTGGAGATATGCTGATTATGATAATGATAGTGATATTGATGATAGTGATGATTGATTGATGATGGAAACAATGGCAGTGATGATGATGATGATAATGATGATTAATGTGATGATAAATGCAGCAAAGAGTTTATTGAAGACTACAAGCAACATATTTGGTAAACTCTTACACCACAGATAATCAGTTTAATCCATCTCCCACCCTCTCTATTCCCCTCCCTCCCTTCACAGAATGAACCTGTATGAACTGATCAAGAAGAACAACTTCCAGGGCTTCAGCGTAGCCCTCATCCGTCGCTTTGCCTTCTCACTGCTCCAGTGCCTGCGCATGCTACACAAGGAGCGCATCATCCACTGCGACCTCAAGCCAGAGAACATCCTCCTCAGGCAGAAAGGTCAAAGTACAATCAAGGTCATTGACTTTGGCTCCAGCTGCTATGAGCACCAGAGAGGTAAGTTTACTGGATGGAGAGAAAAAGAGAGTTTAGGAGAAAGAATAGAGAGAGAGAGAGAGAGAGAGAGAGAGAGAGAGAGAGAGAGAGAGAGAGAGAGAGAGAGAGAGGGGGGAAGTGAGATAGAGGGATTAACAAAGAGTGTGTGTGAGAGAGAGAGAGAGAGAGAGAGAGAGAGAGGGGGGGGGGGGGGGGGAGTGAGATAGAGGGATAAACAAAGTGTGAGAGAGAAAGAGAGAGAGAATTGGAAAGAATACAGGGTGTTAATAGATTCATCCTATACATCCTGATTAGTTTTGATTTGATGAATTGATCTTGACCAAGGACAATTAGGACATCACTGAAAGCAATTTTGAAAAGTAAATGTTTGGTTTAGATATCTGCAGAGTGAAACTGGAATAATCTACTTAAGATTCAGGTGTTGAATTAAAAAGATTGTAATTAAACAAATTACCTATTAATCTAAGGGAGAGGGAATGAGGGAAGGAGAGAGAATGAGGGAAGGTGAGAGAGACAGACTGACAGAAAGACGGATAGAGAGAGGGAGAGATTAATATCGTGGAGGGAGGAAGAAAGCAGTAGAGAAATAGAGAGTTGGGGAAACGGAGCGAAAGAGATATGGAAGGAGAGTGCAAACATATGTATTAAACGATCATTTCAAGCATCCTGTCTCCTATAAAAATGCCACACCCCTTCTTAACATCACCTCTTAACATCCTCTTACCACCCACCTACCAGTGTACACCTACATCCAGTCTCGCTTCTACCGGTCTCCAGAGGTGATCCTGGGTCTCCCTTACGGGCTCCCCATCGACATGTGGAGCTTTGGGTGTATCCTGGCTGAGCTCTACACCGGCTACCCTCTCTTTCCAGGGGAGAATGAGGTGGAGCAGTTAGCATGTATCATGGAGGTGAGTCTGAATACCATATTTCGAAATACACAAGTTCCATTACTATGGAATACAGTTCAACCTGCTTTAGTGATCATCTGCATAGAAAGACATCCTGTCTATAAAAACCATGTCTTTCATTATCCATGAAACATGTCTTAAAATTAAACCCATCTATAAAGACTACCTGTCTACAAATACTACTTTTTGTATTTTTCTTGGGTGATCTTTTTGTATGGGTTTTGACTGTAAATGGTAAATTTCAGAAAGAAAATGGATTATTTCAAGTGACTTTGTAAAGTCCGCAAAATGACCCTGCTTTCATAAATTTGTGTTTTGGGATATGGAAGAAAATTTTTTTTGAAGAGAAGAGGAAAAAAGTGTGAATCATGAGCAGATATATCGATATTCTATTCTACTTTTACAATGTTGAAATACATGCATATTAGTAAGCAATGATTCTAAATGAATGTGGCATATAAAATACATAAACTGTGGATATATTTCAATTCTAAAAAATCTAAGTTGAATATTGGTTTTTAAGTTTGCGTAAAAATTTATTATTTTCACCTTTTTTTCCAGATCTTTGGTCTTCCTCCTCCCCACATTATTGAAGAGGCTCAGAGAAGAAGACTATTCTTTGGTAAGAATTTAATCTAACACTTAAAGTGGGACTGCAGTACTTGTAGCTGCTTGCACCCTCTATAAAGCAAACAATGCCTAAGTGATACCTGTTGGTCCCCAATGATCCCCTTTTTCTCATGTTATTTAAGAGCTGATTTGATGAGATAACCACCTGTCAGTGACCAAGCTGGGAGGTCTAATCCCTCTTGACCAAACTAGTGCAGACAGTCTTTAACTTAAATTTTGAATGAATTTGAATGAAGTTTCTAACATAAACCTGCTGCCACTTGCACTAGAAAGACAGTAATTGGCATTACAACAACTACGACCACTGTTATTACATGTACATTACTTGTTAGTAATTATTTTGTATCTCTCTCTCTTGTATCCTTCTTCCGCTAAGATCGGAGATCGTCGGCACTGTGAGTCTGCCAAAGTTTCACACATGGCTTTCTATAGGTCGTTGGGGGTCCTTAAAGGATGTTAAGTAGATTTTGACGGGTTGTGTGAAGATTATATTATTAATACTGTTATTCAAAATTCATCTCTACTTTCCATAGATTCCAGAGGCAACCCACGGTGTATCACAAACAGTAAAGGCAAGAAGAGGCGACCTAACACCAAGGATCTGGGTTACGCGGTCAAGACAGGCGACCCTCAGTTCTTAGATTTCGTCAAGAGATGCTTAGAGTAAGCATTTTGTGACATATTCTTCTTTCAAAGTTTGATTGAAGTTGATGCCCTCGTACTTGTATGCTGAGTATTGATCAGACTTAAGGTTTCATTGCATATTTACAAAATTACAATTATAAAATTAAGTGTAGAAATATCTTTTCTTGTAAGAATTATTCTTTTTCTTTCTTATTTGATATTAATTAATATTTGTTTGTTAGAGGTATAATTCCCATACATGTCATTCTGCTGTTCAGTTATGTTTAAGTGAGTTCCAACATGTTTAGTTTATTTCTATTGTAAATTTCCATTTTATCTAAATATGTGATGAATCTGCATTTAGTTTTATTGATATCTCAGAAAATTAAAAGCATTAGAAGCTGAATATTAAGATTCAGAAGTTCAAGTTTTTTTTTGTGTGCATACTGTGAAAAGTAACGACAACTAATGACAGTACCTTGAATTTAAACCTGATTTTTCAGATGGGACCCCTCTCAGCGGCTAACCCCGGACCAAGCCTTGCAGCACCCGTTCATCCAGGAAGGCATCCCTCACACCAAGTCCAAAGACAAACACCGGTCCTCCAACCCCACCGCATCCTCCTCCTCCTCCACCACCACCTCCAACCAACATCATCATCACCATAGAAACAAGCATCAACAACACAGTACGCATCACCAGCAGACTGTCAAGGAGATGCAGAAGGAGGGGGCATCGGCCAAGGGTCAAGAGGTCAAAGTGGAAGGGTCGGGCGGAGGGGTCTTCCAGCTGCCGGCCGTCAACAAGGCGGTGGCCCAGGTGGCCAAGAGCAGCGCCAAGGGCAGTGCGAGGGTGAGGGTAGGGAAGGAGAAGCAGAACAACTCATTAAAGGAAAATACAGGTAAATTTTGTAGCTTCTAACCCTGTTAGTACTGTAAGGATGAGCCCTAAGCTTCGATTTTATTGCAGTCCTTCGTTAGTCCTCAACTCTTTTCTGACAATTCATTTTTTTGGCATGGTGTGCATTTGAATCCTTATCTGAAATGCTGATTTTTTTTTTCATGTGTAGTACTTTGGTTTGCAACGTTACCATATTGATTATGAGATGCTCGATTGATTGAACAATATACATTTTGAAAATAATATCGCTAGTGATATTCGTTTGTCTCGCAATGTGGTCAATAAGGAATCTAAAAGATCACGACGTTTCGTGCACTTTCTGCAACACTGCAACACTATAAAAGACCCTTGCTTACATTAGTTTTTGTCACCTGACGAAGTGTTGCAGATAGCGCACGAAACGTCGTGATCTTTTAGATTCCTTATTTACCACATTGCGAGACAAACGAATATCACTAGCGATATTATTTTTGATACTACATCCACAATGAGTAATATATTTAGCAATATACATTTTCTTTTACAAATTTTATTCAAATTCTACTTAGTTTTGAATTAAGATGAAAGAACAGATTTCTAGTATAATTAGTTAGATGTAAAACCCTTTATCATACTTTTTTTTCCTCTATTGCAGAAGATTCCAGTGCACCCGACGTCTCGAAGAAGAATGGTTTAAGGATATCAAGAGAGAAGTCTAATCTAAATGCCAAGTCTGACTTTGTCATGCCACCTATTCATCTAGGTATTAATGCAGACCTTACTGCAGAGAAACCCGTCAATAAGGTCAGTAGAAAGATTTCTAGAGTTCAGGGGAGTGTTTCACAAAGACTAAGATTGACTTTAAGTTTGACTTAACTATGGCAGGCCGTTCATGCCACTAGTTTCCGCTAACCATTCCTGGCATTGGTTTCTCAAGGGGCGTACAGATCATGGTCACAAATCGACAGAATTTTCATTTTTGATAGAAAAAAAAATATTATCTAAAGATCATAATTGAGAGACCAATGGTGAAAGCAACCAGTGGCATGAATGGCCTGCCATAGGTAAGTCCAACTTAAACTTGATCTTAGTCTTTGTGAAACACTCCCCTTGTAACAATACAAACTATATTCTAACAGATTTCAACACATATGACTCAAGTTTTGTTTTTCGACACAGTTAAGTTCTCTTTATGGAATTTCTTCATTCTTTTTTAGAATTTGTTTTGTAAACTATATTGACCCTACAAGTTCATATGTTTGGGTGTAGTATCATAATATGTATCTTTTTTTGTGATATCTGGAATTCACTTTGTTAATTGTCTGTGAAAGTCATGAGGTATATGTACTTTATATAGTAAGGTAGGAAATGTGCCAAGAGAATGGACTTTTATGTGATAGAATTGAAACATGTACATACACTTAAACCGTTGATTGAACTTGTGGGGGATAAATTGTTTCATTATAGTCTATTCTTGTTTCCCATTTTCAATCCCACAGGTCAAGCCGCTTCTTGCGGAAGATAAAGCGCCCTCTATTGAGGTAATTGAGGTTGAGGACTCTGAGAAGTTTCTCGAAAACTTAGAACTCGATGAAAAGAATGTGATAGACTCCCAAGAGAAATATGCCAAGAAGGAGCAAAAACAAAGTGGACAGTTCTTACCGCCGATTGTATAGCACAGGATATTGGTAGAGGGAGCATAGGAACAGTTGTTACCACTGAAGAACAGGAAACATTAGATAGAGGTAGATTAGGAACCATTGTAGAAGCCAGGAGTGTAGAACTCATTAGGAACCTTAGCCTTAGAAAGGCTGCTGCAATGGCTTTACCTTGCATGGCGATCAGGACGATGGCTATGTCAGCGGGAAGAGAGAGTTGTCCGCCGCGCTGGACGAAAGAGCGGGAAATAGTAGCTTCAGTCTCGCTTTGATCTGCACCAAGTCGACGTCACTTTTTAGCAACACAAGCATAGGATTCAGACAACCTGAGATTCAGATGCGCCACACTTACATCAAAGGTTTATGGATTTGAAAATCACTATATTCTTAGTTCTTGATGTGATCAGAAGTGCCTAATTGAGGACATCGTTCAAGGACCACATTCTCTAGGACTGCACTCAGGGCATCACTTTTCAAGAATGGCATTATCATCATCATATCAAAGGTTGATTACATTTGCAAGAATGGCATTATCATCATCATATTGAAGGTTGATTACATTTGAATGTCACCATGTTTTTAGTTTAGATGTAGTCATAAGTGCCTGATTGAAGACATCATTCAAGGACTACAGTCTCTAGGTCTGTAGGTAGGCCACATTTGATGGGTTAATTAAAGGGAGCTGAGTCTTACACTAATGGAAACAGGCATCCATGAATGTCATCATAGAGGTGTCATGGTTGTGTGGATACGTCACAGGACTGTCAATCACAAGGTCCATGGTTCGAGTCCCGCCGCAGCATTAATGTCCTTTGGCAAGACATTGATCTACATTTGCCACACTCAACCCAGGTGATGTAAATGGGTACCTGGCAGGAATTAATTCCTTGAAATGCTAGAGCACCGTAATGGCAGCCGTGCTCAAGCCAGGGTAATAATTGGGAGCGCCAGGAGTGTCAAGTCTGACAGATATGAGCGCTATACAAGAACCCATTATTATTACTATAATTATTGTTCAGTACAAGTCATATCTCACATAACCTCACATTAAAGCACTGCAAGTTGCCCACCTCACCCACATGTGTTACAGCACTGCATATGCACCACCTTGAGCATGGAGTTACATCTTCATTTTGGCAGTGCCTCAAACTGTGATGCCTTCACAGATGTGCCTTTCTTCAGCATATTTTTCCGAGAATAGTAAAACACTGGTAAAATGATTCAATTAAGCCAGGGCCAGACTCGTCGGTAATATCCTACCCACAATCAAAAACGAAATGTATAAATTGAATCAGTCATACTCCTAAACTATGTAGTTGCAAGAGGAATAAATTTGTAGGTGACAAGTTCCTACATGCCACTTAAAATGAACAATTTCTTGAAAGGTACTCATAGTTATCTCTTTAAAAATTCTTACCTTTGAACCAGATTTATAAGGATTTGTTTCTACTTTTATGAGCCAGTGTTTGTATAATGATTTTTTAAATTTTATTAAGTGGTAATACAGCTGCGAACATCAACACAAGTTGATAGCTTTTGGCTAAGTTTTAAATGCACATCTCTTGCACTATGCATCAACTCCTGTTTTTGTACTTGTCTTTTGGGTCTATTTTGAAAAAATGTTCTGTATATTGTGTGTAATGCTGCAAGTATATATAAACCATGGGGATACGTTGTACGTACCTCCACAAATATACTGTTGAAGTGCCTTGATAAAAAAGGATTGTGTTTTACTCGGTTGAAAGTCAGCAACTGTGAAAATTCAATTGTTGATTTGGAAATGGGATTACACCATCAATTAAAACTTGAAGAAGCTTTGAAAATGAAATGAAAGCCATAGAGATATAATTCACTCAGATTTGTTTCTGATCTGTATTAGCATTTTGATTTCTTTATTTTTTAATCTCTTTTTCAGAAGATGGTCAAAATATATGTTAGCCCCCTTAATAATGGCTACAACAAAACTTGATAAAAAAAAGGAAAATTTTTTAGGAAAATCTATTC